CGCGGGTGTCTTGCCTACTGGCCAGGGGCTAGGGGCCTTGGCGGGAGGAGGGGGGTTGGGGGGTTGGAGGTGGCCGCGGCCGAGGGAGCCGTGGAGCCAGAGGAGGGAAGGGGAGAGAGGAGGAGAGAGGAAGCAGGGGGAGGGAGGGAGGGAGCTAGGAGCCAGAATGGGGGGGTGCCTTGGCAGAGTTAACTCCTTCAGTGCTGGCAGGAACCCGGATCATGGAAAAGGAGACGGAAGCAAAAGCAGAGAGGCCCTGAAGCAAACATGGAGACCTGGCCAGCCACCAGCGGTGACAGCAGACACGACGAGGGCAGATTTCATGTCTCAGAGGAGGAAGCACCATAGCTGGGCAGGGAGCACCCATGGTTGTTTAAATACTGGAGAGAGGCCATGGCAGAGGGTGGGAGTGAGGGAGGGGTTGGCAGGAGGGAATCCCAGGGTCCTAGTTCTCCCACAGGATTCACAAGAGGAAGCCTTAACAATAATTCTATCCTCAACTCTTTAGTGTCTGAAATGGAGGCCGGCGACGAAAAGGGGGAAGCAAGCCCGAGAAGGGGCTCGGGGACAGGAGAGGCATTCTCTGTGCCCCTGACTCGGGATTTTGTCCCCAAGTGTCAGTTCAGTATCAGCAGGACTCTGCTCAAACCTCGGAAAGTTAGGCCCTCATCCTACCTACCTGACTCTCTGAGATGGAAGCCTCATAACAGTCCAGGATGTCTGCCACAGGAACAGCACCGAGTTACTCTCTCCACCCTCGCCTCCCTGGCCACCCCAGCCATCACCCTGCCTCCTGCTGTCTGGTAAGGGAGGCGCTCCTCCAGCCCAAGCTGGTGGACACTGAGGAGGAGCCCTGTGGGGATGACCCCTGCACGAGGCTCTTGCTTGGACCACATGACCTCCGGGCTCCCACCCAGCCCCCAAGTTCAGTCATTGCCCTCACAGGCCTAGGCCAGCCCTTTCCACGACTGTTCCTTAGGAAGTTGGGAGACCACTCACCCAGCAAGGCCTGGAAAAGGTCACTGTGCAGGACCCTGAGGAGAGAGGGTGCCCATCGCAGCAGGGGCGGGGCCAGGAGCCAGAGGGCTGACCTGGGAGCTGGTGAAATGCAAGGGAGGGTGGGTTGGGAGAAGAAAGAGACAGAGAGACCAATGTACTCACCTCATCTTCCCAGCCTTGGCCCTTTCACCCCAGACTCTATGGAAAGGTTCAGGGAGAGGGATCCCCAAAGTCTCAGCCCCCATTCCATAAGGACTCCTGTTTTTCACCTCTTGGTCTCTCGGACATCTCTCTCTTCTCTCACTTTAATCTCCCTAATCCTCCAGGATTGAAGCTGAGCTGTGTTCTCCCAACCCAGCTTTAGCCATTAGCTAAAGCAGGCACTCTCTGAACCAACCAGATAGCCCATTCTTCTCCAGGTCTCCAGGCACCACCACCATCACCTCGCTCCACACACCCTGGCCCCTTCTCCCCAAAGCCAGTCACAACTTAGCTACACTTTCCTGAGGGACTGAGGAAGATGGCTGCCTCCCACGGAGGCTCCCACAGCTCAGAAATAGAGCCCAGCTCTCTCTCCTCCTGGGCCTGCCCCAGTGGGAATGGCAAAAAGAAGGGCATAAATTACCTGGGACTCTTTTAAACTTAATTTTTAGAGAGAGGAAGGTAGAGAGAGAGAGAGAGAAACACCAGTGTGAGAAACATCAATGGGCCTCCTCCCACACCCTGACTGGGAATCAAACTCACTACCCTTTGGTCCAACCAACTGAGCTACACTGGCCAGGGCCACTGGGACTTCTTGACCCAGAGCTAGAGAAGTGTGGGAGAGGGGAGAGACATGAGGATCCCTGCAGTTCCTCTCCCGCCTGGAGAGCTCCATCTGCCCAGAGGCCTGGCCTGAGCACATGCCTCAGGAAGAAACAGAAGGCAGGTGCAGAGAGGTAGATGTTGAGGAAGGTCTCAGAGGCCTAAGGGGAGGCAGTGCACCCAGGAGGGAAGAGGAGGTCCTTCCTACTGTGAAAATGTTGGTGTTTCCCAAATTAGTGGACCTCCTAGGTCTCAGGAGAATATGCTTGGGACACTCACACCCCAGCTGGAGTCCCCCACCCCGACATTTTCCTCCCTTTTGTAAATTTCACCAGGGAGACCGAAGAGTCATCCTTCCATGCCTCTGCCTCTGGCATCTGGCTTACACTTCTCTCTCCCCGCCTCTCCTTTCTAACCCACCTGTAAGTGCTCCTTTCAGCCCACCCTCCATCCCTCCGGCGGCAGTTGCTAAGCTCCTCCCTCTTCGGTCCCGGCCTAACCGATCACGCCTTCCGAGGGCTACACTCTAGTTCGGACAGGTGGCAGGAAGGAGTTTGGGGGAGAGAAGGGACGTTTGGAGATCACCCCTAGGTCAACCAGAATGCAGGGCTGGGGGGCTCCGAAACTACAGCTCCCAGCATGCCCCAGCGGCCGGAAGCCCCGCCCACCGCCCGATGCATTGTGGAGAATGAGTCAGAGGTTGTAGGACCCTGGCTTTCGCAGACAGAACCAGAGCGCGAGGTCAGCGCTCAAGGCAGCGGCGGCTAAGGAAGGCGGTTCAGAGATGCAGGCGGCGAGGAGGGCCCCGAGCGTGGGGCGGCAGCTGCTGAGGTTGGGGGGCGGAAGGTGTGTGTACGCCCGGAGGGATGGGGGCGGCGGGCCCGGGGGCTCGGCCAGGACTGACCCTCCACTCCCCACAGCGCACGGCCCTGTGCGATCCTGGGGCACCCCCGGCCCGGCCCGGCCCAACGACCCTATGCCAGTGGGGCCGCTCAGGTAAGAAAGAGACGGTGGCCTTGGGGTGGGCGACCGTCCGGGCCCCCACCTCCCTGCCGCCGCCGACAGGGGTCTCCCTCTCGGTGCAGTGACCCGCTGACCGCTCTGGCAGCGAAAGTGGGGGAAAGGGCGGGCCAGGGTGCCCTGGCATGAAAGTAGGTGAGAGGTCGCCGGGTCTGCCCTTCCGGGCACCTCGCTCTGCCCCTCCGCTCTCCTTGGCATTTCGGCAGACCCTTCCCCAGCGCATTAACTATCCCTTTCCCCAGGCGGTTCTGGACAAGTCCGATTCGCTCCCCTCTGAGGCTTCGACCGGGGAGAAAGCGGCCAAGGCGGTATGTGGCCCCGATCTAAGCCGCCAGGGGCGGGGCGGGCCGGGCCCAGGGGCCACCCCAGCAGCCAACTCCCTGAAACCTCCTCCTTCCCCTGTGGCAGGAATCTAAGTCCTTTGCTGTGGGCATGTTCAAGGGCCAGCTCACCACAGATCAGGTGTTCCCCTAC